TCTTCTCAAGAACTCTCCAAAGGATATCTCTTGGAGCCTTATTGTAAGCTTTTTCCAAATCAATAAAAATAAAATGTAGATCCTCCTTGTTATCTCTGAACTTCTCAATCAAACCTCTCAATAAATATATAGCTTTCATAATCGACCTGTCTGACATAAATCCAAACTAATTATGAGTTAATTATGAGAAATTTTTGTAATACGTCTTAACCTATGTTCAATTACCTTCTCCCATTATTTTAAAGTATGACACATTTAAAGTATGACACATCAACTTATGACACATCAACTTAATTCCTCTATAATTTCCATACTCTTGTGCATCCTTTGTATTCTTAAAAAATGGGGACAAAAATACTCTTCCTCTACTTCTCAGACTTTTTTTTTTGTTTTTAAAATAATATTAAAGAGTTTAGTAAGCCAATAAACTCCCAATTCTTCTAAAAATTTCCACACTTCAATTGAGATATCATCAAGTCCTACATACTTTCTACCATTGGTTTTCTTTAAAGCCTCATAAATTTTTTTTTTACTAATGCGATGGTAAAAATGAAACGTTTTCTTATTATTAGCGATTTTAAGATCACTAAGGTTGATCATTTTTTCAGAAACTTAATTAAAAAGTTTATCAAAATAACTCACCCATCTATGTTGAATGTATTTTTCTGAAAAAAATAATTTTTGATTTTCATTTTTAATACACTTTATTTGAGTAAAATCTTTGTTTTTCTTTTCTCTTTGTTTGACTAATTTATACATATATTTTTCACCCTTATTAGTATTTAATCTGTTATAAAGATCACTAAAAACAGAATTTTTAGTGTCACAGATTGTTTTTTTAGACTCTCTGCTGGTCATTTGATATTTTTTCCAGTTCTCTAAGCTCTTTACATTTAAACCAATTTTTATAGCGTATCTTCTTATATTTTATCTTTTCTTGCACATTATTATTTCACCACCAATTTTTTTTATTTATAGAAACTTTTTCTTTTGATTCTCCAAGTATATATTTTGCTACTTGTTTAATAGTATTTGTTACTTTATCCCACACAACATTCGTTTCTTCATGAACATCCCAAATTTTGAAATCTTGAATTTTACTCGTAAAAATAATTTTATTTGGCTTTTAGGTTTCTCCATCTAATTTTACGATGATGATTCATAGTATTCTTTATTTTACAACTCTTTATTTTAAAATTTAGAACTAATAATCGATGTTCGTTATTTAAATTCTCACTTGGAATGACCTTACTATATTTACAATCTCGACGATTTTCTCATAAGAAAATAATCAATTTATGCTTCATTAGATCAATTCTTATTAGTAATAAGATGTTCATCTCTTTTCTTGAATAAAATATTAGTAATAACAAAATTATATGTTAAAGTAAAATTTAAAATTGCTCTACCTTCTTCATTAGCCACTCCAAAATCGTAGCCATCATGAATGTTTCTGAAATCTTCTATCACTCTACCGACATGTCCATTTAAATCTCCCTCAATAAAAATTTTTTCTTCAAGAGTTATCATTTGTATTAAATCTCCTAAGTCATTCCAGAATTTATTTAAACTTACTTGAGGAGCATAAGCACTTATAATATTAAAAATTTTAGTATCAATAATAATCTTAAGGGCTATAATTCTATCTTCAACTTTATTAATTTTTACAACATTTTCTTTCAAACTTTTATCTATAATTACACCAACAACATTTCTAATGCGACTCTTCCCAGAATACCAAAGTTTAAATCCTAAGTTATCAATCTCCTTAGAATACATGAGATATTAATCTTTCTATGCATCATAATATCAATTAATTCTGTTAATTTACCATTGAGAGTACTTATATTCTAAGATCCTATTCTAAAATTAATTTCATTAGTTCCGTGGACTAACTTCTTTACCAGCATCCGTCCGTATTGTGAGGACCCTTATTTGAAACTACACTCCGACGCAGGTGTGACGGTCTTTGCATACTTTTCACTGTATTTAGGTCATATAGCACATCGTTTCTAGGGGACGCCCTAGTACTTATGCAATGTTAAAATGATTCATGTCATGATTTTATTTCGACAAGTTTTACGCTGGTTGTCGACTAACTATGCAACCCTCCACTTTTCTAACTAATGCAACCCTCCACTTTTCACAATAGTAGATTAATTTTTATTCTCTATGTATTTTGTACTAACTGAAAATAAATAAATAAAAGAATTTTTTTCCTAATTGATAGTGCCAATTCAAACCAACCACATCCATAGTTTATTCCGAAGTATCAAACATTTCATTCAAACCAGAGACGGAGATGTGGCAAGGAAGGAGGCCTCATATCATGAGTGTGTCTACGATAAGGAAGGCAACACGTGCGTAGGCGAAGAGAAATCACCGTGCGGCTTTGTGTACGTGAGACGTGTGTTGCGAAGGAGGAGATGAGGGAGTTGCGACTTCGAACGAGAAAGGAGTATGCGAGAAGGGATGATCACGCCAACCAAGCATGCAAAAAGGGTTTTACTACATGTAGGAGAAGGCGTCTAGAGCTTCCTATACGGAAGGAGCAGCTGAAGTTGAGTGGCTGCTGCATGCTTAGGAAACTGAGGCTTTGTCTAGGAGGGAGGCCGAACCGAGTGTATAAAGCAAAGGTTAGGATTTATATTTTATTTATTATGAGACATTTTTTTATTTAATTTCATATTACTAGTTTATATTAAATATTATGAATTAATAATAGAGATTAAGGTGCAAGCAATCAAATTAAAGTAAAGGGAGAATAGAATCGATGTCAAACAAATTTTAGTAGGCGTGTTTAGGCTTTATTTATTTAATTTGATAAATATGCATATTTTATTTTAAAGATCAAAATTTTGAAGTTAAATTTTAAATAAATAATATCGGAATTGATAAATTGAAAGTATGTAAAACCAAAAAAAAGTTTTTGAATTTCAAGGAGTAGAAAGAGGTTAATTAAGTTAAGAGTTTTATGTTTTAAAATTAAAGATTTTGATTTTTATTGAAAATTGATGTTAATAATAATATTATGAATTGAATCACCGGTGAAACAACATTCCAATTGAAAAAGTTGCAGCATTCATAAAAAATAAAAAAATGGAAAAATATTCAGATTGGGAAATAAGAAGAATTGACAATATCAATGAGGTCAGGGTTTTCTATTGACTTTGTAGTAGTGGCTTTAAAGTGAGGATGTTAAAAATGAATAGTAAATTAGGAAAATCTCAATTCTATGTAACAATAAATAATTTAAATAAGTAAAATAAATTCAAAAGCAAGTATGATATTAAATAATGAAACTAATTTATAATTTAAGAGAAATTAATAAGAAATGTTACATTTGAATTTAGGTTTTTTCTTTATTAAAGAAGGGGTGCTAGAACATAAATTCAAGATAATCTTCTGAGCTTGAGGTAATTATATTTCTAAGTTATAATAATATTTCTTACTTTTGAAGCTATTCCTGATTTTAGTTTTAAACTTTTATGTTCTTTGTAAAGTAAACTATAACCAACACTTCATATTGATAGAGACGAGATATGCATAAGAGCATTTCTGCATAAATAGTGGCACATTGATTTCATTTTTCATAAATTGATAGAAGCTCATTGCATAGCTTTTAGATTCGAATGGAGATGCATATATCAGGTTATGGCTTGTCATTTAGATTCTAGTAGAGGTGCCTTATTTCATTGATATACAAACAAAAGGTGTCTCATAAGAAAATCTTATATGCTATGAAATATGAAAATATTTTACACATGAATACTAAGAGGAGTTCACCCTCTTATGATACTGGTTGGGGAGGCCAATGTACCTGCAGACATAGATGCTTTTTTTGTCACCTCAAATAATTGTGAAATTTAGATCAGCCATAGTTGAGTAGACACTCTATCACTTCAACTAATCGTGTAATTTAAATCACAAGCCATTGTGCTGACGAGATAATATCGGTCAGGGATGACTAGACATTTTTTCACCGCAAATAATTGTGTAATTTAGATCACAAATCATTATGTCGACGAGATAATATCAGTTAGGGTTGTGTTAGGTTATGTTTGATGGTGCTTCTAAGACGGATGTGAATATTTAGAGTATGAAGTTAAAAAATTAAACCTTGAAAAGTAAAGTTAAAAGTAATGCATATCTAATTTTAGACTAATTCCATTTAGCAGGTGTCATGAATACAGAGTAAATTGTTACATAATTTTCTATAATGCAATATGAAAGATCAACATACATGTTATTTTCTCTTCTTTATATTACTGTAATTTAAAAGCGTGACTACTTGACTATTTATATTGGATAATTAATTATATTTTGAAAATTTTCAGTTTAAACTTTTAAATAAAAGATGAATATTAGAGGAGATAATGTATATGAAAGACGAGGTCAACAAACTAAAATGTAAATTTTTATTTGTTTAATTAAATTATTTTTCTTTAGGAACTCTTTTAATTTATTTGAATTGTAAATTGTTAATGTTAAAATGAATGAAAAAATAAATAAATTTCACCGTTCGACTATCTGTTCTTGTCTTGGTTAGTTTCAAGTCTCGGGCCGGGTCGTGAAATATTTTGCATGTTATAATTTTGTTAAAAAGTTTTTTTTTGGCTAGTCATTACAATCTCTCTCTCTCTCTCTCTCTCTCTCTTCAGCAAGAGCTGCGGCCAAATAATTATACTGTTTTTTTTCTTCTGAAAGCAATGATGTTTGAAGTGCTCTGAAATACACTTGCTGATGTAGTGCTGAAAAGCAGAACGAGCACTTCTTGGCTTGAATTTTGGCAAATTTATGATCTTCCCCTTCCACGACGCTTGTGGTCTTGTCCCCTCGTTTTGGGCAAAAAAAAAACTATTTTTTCTTATTACCAAATTCTTGGTGATTCTTGTAGCAGTTCTTTGGTTTAAATTTCCTTAAAAAAAAGAAGAAGATAAAAGAAGGAACAAAAATAAATAAATAAATAAATAGCTGAGCTGAATTTTTGTTTGGAGCAGGTGGAGCCTCGAGTAGTGGAAGGTTTGTTCGGCATGTTGCTTCTTTTGGTGACACCTCCGAGGTAATGTGCTTGCTCGTCTACTATATTGTATTCGTTATGATTGTTTATATATCATTATCATTGATTTTGGTAGGATGCTTCGGAAGAATTGCCAGATGAAAACAAAGAAGAAACTGTGCCTGAGAAAAAGAAACGAAAAAAGGTTAAGATCTTGCCAATACATGTACTTCCATTGTTTCTCTCCCAATTCTCCATCCTGATGCTTCTCATCATGGCTTTCATTATTTAGGTATCAATAGGGAAGGAAGAAATGCAGAAGAAAAAGAAGAAACGCAAGGTCCATTGCTTTTTAACTTTCCTTTTAAATTCCGTTTTTCTGTGTACTGATTTTGGCCGTTGTTTGCAGAATTTGAAAGTTCTGACAAGCAGAAAGCAGAAGTTTAAATCATGATATGCAACTAGTCATATTTAATCATATAATCTGCTGCTGATTAAAAAGCAAAAAAAAGGCTGAGGATTTATAGCTAGCAGTTTCCATGATTTTTTAACTTCTTTCTAGGGGGAAAAGTGATTGATTTTTACATATATTTATTTTCCATCAATTGCTTAATTATAACTGTAGTTTTTTTTAGGGAATCAACAGCTGTAGAATTTGTAGATTTAAGTATGCTATCAGAAGTACAATTAGTTTTCCTTAATGTTTGTTTTTTTTTCTTTAATGCCCTGTTTTGTATCTTTAATCTCATTTTAATCAAAATTTGATCAGATTAGTCTTCAGTTGGATCTAAATTTGTCACCCAGCGGTAATTAATTCCTTAATTTGTGCCGTTTGTGTATGTAGTTGGAGGTCATCTTTCATGAGTTTAAGTTCGTTCACTTTGATCTCTGTAAAGACAATTTAGCGTGCTGTTCTTGTTTTCTCTTGCAAGCTTTATTTTGCTCATACCAAGTGAGCTGAACTCCACCAAAGAGTTGGAAAAAAATTTTCAGTCCGGAAACTAATAAAATCTTGCATTTGTATCTAACTGGGTCCACTTAAAAAATGATGAAAATTTGCCAATAACACCCCAATAACATTGCGGTGTTATTGGCACTGTTCACGGGTATTATTGTGGTGTTATGAGGGTTATGCGGTGTTATCGCGGTGTTATTTGTGTGGTCCATCAGGTGATGTTATTGGCGCTAATCCCCTGTGTTATTGTGATGTTATTCAAGTTATTTTGCGGGTTTATTGAAACGAAACCGAGGTACCGATGATATTGCGGTGTTATTGTGGTGTTATTAAAATGATACACGGTGCCACAGCGTGGAGGCATTGCCCTTTTGGCTGCAGTTTATGGCCCTTTGCTTAATTTTTTGCCGTTTGTGTATGTAGTTGGAGGTCATCTTTCATGAGTTCAAGTCCGTCCACTTTGACCTCTCTAAAGAAAATTCAGCCTGCTCTTTATGTTTTCCCAGGCATGTTTTACTTTGCTCACAAGTGAGCTCAACTCCACCAAAGAGTTGGAAAATTTTTTTTCAGTCCGGACTCTAATAAAATCTTGTCATTTGTATCTAATTGGGTCCACTTAAAAAATAATGAAAAGATGCCAATAACACCTCAATAAAATCGCCGTGTTATTGACACTGTTCACAGGTGTTATTGTGGTGTTATGGGGGTTATGCGGTGTTATCGCGGTGTTATTTGTGTGGTCCAGCATGTGATTTTATTGGCGCTAATCGTCTGTGTTATTGTGATATTATTGTGATGTTATTCAAGTTATTTTGTGGGTTTATTGAAACGAAACCGAGGTACCGGTGGTATTGCGGTGTTATTGTTGTGTTATTAAAATTATTTTGCAATAACACAACAATAAGTGTCTTTTCGTCAATTTTTAGGTGGGCTTAGTCAAATATATATGATAAGATTTTTTGGAGTCTGGACGTAGAGTTGCATCTGGACTCCGTATGAAAAATTTTTTCAAAGAGTTGAGGTTTTTATGTGAAAGTAGGCTAATCCTTTCACAAATAGATGAAATAGCTGATTATAAAAGATTAGAGCGTTGGCTTGCTTTCGGACAAACTAGAATTGTATCACCATGCAATATTATATGAGCAAATAAAACTGAAAACCATTGTTCTAAAAAATATGACTTAAAATTAAGAACATAGACATGATGCATTTGCCAATTTGGGTACTGTACTGAATGCTCAACTTAATAGTCTAATAATTTTGACGAAGTTTATAGGCGTTGGATTCAAATATAGCATACATGTGTTGTTGTCAGTTTGGCTTGCCACGAACCTTATTACTTCATGAAACGCCTTAGCATCCTAATGTCTTTCAGGACGCCGGAGCTTGAATTCCAGCGCCAATGCTGCCGGTTCACGGTGCCACAGCGTGGAGGCATTGCCCTTTTGGCAAGTGGCTCATAGGCGCTGGGTGGGGCGCATCCTAGTGCTGCATGCGAGTAGATGCGGCTATTCATGGGAGCAAATATTACATGGGATTGCGTTCGGAGTTCAATGGTGAAACGTTACGTGTCAAGTAGATCTATTGCAATATATTGAGATTGATCAGTGTTAAAATTTGTCTTATTATTAAATTTCAAATGCATCCAAGTCCTGACCTAATATTTTTTCCATCGGAGCAAATATTACCTAGTGTTGTGATGCCCCTTTAATTAGCGTGCGTGACCGTTTGACAACCGACGAAAATTAGATCGTTGGTGTACTCGGTTTGACCCAATAAAAGGGAGTGCCACTACTCTCGACCACCATGTCCACCACATGGAACGACAGAGTAGCAAGCTCAAATATTCAAGCGCACTTCAGTGAGGACTTACCCAGGAACTCCAGCACCCCTCTACACCATACTTCCTTCTTCAAGGTTGGGCTGAGTAGTACCGGGGGTGATGGTCATGATCGCGATGACAACAATGAAGTTTGAGAGAAATCAAATATGAATGATATACATCACCAAATAGACAAACAAATAAAAAAACTAAGCATAAAGTTTATATATGGGTAATCCTCGTGTGATGGGTTTAAAATATATGTCTGAACACGATCAGATCGAAGTATCTCGAAACACAAAATCCACAAAGAGAATCCATACATAAGCCACCCGTAAATTCAAGAAGGGAATGCATTGCACGGAAAAAAAAAAAAAAACAAATGTTTAAATAATAATATCAACAAAATAACATCAATCTTACATGGCGATAGGAAGACAAAATAAGTTGAAATATCCTTATTAATCATCAATTTGATTTCCAAAAAACACTGAAGCACAGCAGTCAAAACAATGGCAATATTGATAGGGTGTCAGGCAGATAGGGAACACAAGAAATATGTTAACTCGTAGTTAAAGAAAAAAATAAGAAGATGAGAAGAATAATACTGTCAATATGGCTGATTGTTTGCGAATAGCTCATGTTCGGCTTATTAAGTAGCTCGTATTTGATTCATCGCTAAGTAAACGAGTGGAACACGAACAATTTTATTTTGCTCGATACATAAACGCAGTTTCGTTTGTTCGTGTTCGGCTCTTTTTGGCTCAATAAAATTAATATATATATA